CAATAACACCATCCATCGCTCACACCACGGATCTTATTCCTCCAATCACTGCCGTCGAGTGGTCTGCATCTTCTTCTGAATATGTTGATGATGAGACTCTAGATGAGGAGTCAGATGCTAGTGAGAGCGATCATCGGCCTGCCAAGCGTCTCAGACGGTATAACAGCAAATAATTGAATATTAATGTTTTCAAATGATGTAGATAGCATGTTAGTACAACAAATCTTTTCGAATTCGTATTTTAATTTCTGACGTGGCAACAGAAGTAGACTCACAGTTTCAACAATGTTATTTTTAGTCACAAGATGATATTCATTTCGCGGCCTTTCTGTAGCCTCTTGGACCTCCACTCGGCATATTTGATATCTCGCTGCTTCTACATACAACCATCCTGAGCGCTTATCTGTGCTTGATCGCTGATGCCTGTGCAGTTCCCGGTGTCTTGGGTCGCACTTATTATTAGTTGTTATCGCTCCAGGTGTTAACATTCGAAATTCAGGATTCAGGAATCTCGTACTCGAGTCGTGATCATCATGATGGGATCCTGCAAATATAGGAGTGCCTGCCGGTAAGTTTCCTGCCTCATCACTCCTTAACTTACTCACAGAATCCCACTAATTTCACTGGTTCTGAACGACATGATTGAACTCATTGTTCGATATTATGTATATTCGCATCATCCTTATGCTCAACATTATCTGTATTTGCTTTGTTCTGAACCCTCTCGTTAGCCTCTCGCGCCTCCTTAGACCCTCACTCACTCTCATGAACTTGTCTGTCTTGGTTGGGTATCTGCCGGTAAGTCTCCTGCTTTCACTTCTTAACGTACTCACAGAATAACACTAGCTTTACTGGTTCTGAACAACACGATCGAACTCATTTCAATGGAACCGCCAGCTCGAATATTTGATTGCAAAGTGAGTCATTTGGCATTATGTATAATGTTATCCTCATTCACTTCATTCTGAACCCTCTTGTTAGCCTGTCGAACTCCTGAGAGCCTCGCTAGAGCCTCACTAGAGCCTCACTCGCACCCTCATGAACTTGTCGGCCTTGGTTACCTATCCGAACAAATTTCAATGTCTTACGTTTGTTTAATTCTGTGCTATTATACCATTCTAACTTGTTTAGTCCGCATCAGCTCAAATCAGCCTCATAAGTATCAGGGCGCTGCTGGTTTTTTTTCGTGCCCCTTCTGATTTCCTATCTGATTTACTCTGTGATATCTTGCGCAAACTGCCCAACAGACAGTCTACAAAAAATTGTGCTCTACTGCATATTGTACAAGTAGGCGTGCTCTCATATATTTCTTTTATCATTGACTACATACTGTAGACATGACCCAAAACATCCCCGATGACCTGTCGTCTCCTCACCCGAGCTACATGGGTCTATCCCCCGATACCTTCGATTACATGCAAGAGCAGTTTGGCGGCGGCCGTCGATGTGCAACGCCCCCTGTTGAGCTGACTCCCTCGCGGCTCAGGAGTAAGCTCAAGGCCACAGCGCGGGACGTCGGCCTTGTCAAAGGTGCATCTACCCGCCGCCAGGCCTATCAAAACCACACTGTGGGAAGTCAAGATCCCATATCTGCGCACCCTGGTGCACCAGACTTACCTCATGTGGTGCCAGGTGGTACTTCAACAAGCGAAACGTCATCGCCAATGGTCCACGCGGCTAGTAGTCGCCATGCCTCACCATTTCCTGCCCCACAGGTTCCTGCACAGCTCCAGGATGTTTTTTTTGGTTCCATGGACCAGCAACGCGCGTGGATAGACTCTAATTCTGACACCTTTAGCATGATGGGGTCTGAGTCTTTTTTAGCTGGAGGATCGCAAAATCAGCTCACCGCACAGGGCATGGAGCGCCTAGCACCTCCACCAAGTTACACTTTTCCTGCGAGTTCTTCGGGTCAACCAATGGCTTCTCGTGGATGCTCACTAGATCCTCATGCTACAGGCCAATACCCTTCTGGCTTTACGGAGGATTTTTCTGGCGAAGCCTCGCCGTTCATCCTTCAGCCAGTTCCATCGTCGTCGTCGTCTCATGATCATTCACTTCCCCTCCCAACCACAAATATCATTCCACCAACGCCATTCAAGGATGGTGGCAGCCAGACCAACACCACCACCTCGACAAATACTATTGGTACTTTGCTGAGCGGTTCCAGTTCGCAGATGGACTTAGAAGGCTATCCTTCTGCCTCTCATGAACGCTTTCCCGAGGAGCACGAGCCGGTGACCCATCAAGAAGGACTTACGGTTACTGGACGCAGATCTGCAGAGTTGAATGCAGCACTAGACGTCGGGTTTGCTGCAGTAGAGCGCTGCTTTCTCGAACTATCTGCATCCACCACACTCCCGATTTCTCAATTAATCAACTTGTTCTTGAAGAGTCGCGGACGCACCGTAAACGGCACTAATTATTGGAACCTATATGCCAACTACTTCAAAGAGCATGTCCAGACGGAGCTTGCGCGCATCGGCAGAGAAGCTCCCGCTGGAGGTGGCACACCTAGTAGGTGTCATATTATAACTTGTTGCGCAGGAGGTTAATGTCCCTTATAGGTGTAACCGTGCGGACACAATGTTACGACAAATTCAAAGAGGTTTATTCTGATTCTTACCAAGATATCCTGCTAATGCACGAGGAGGCATCGCTCCTTGGATCTTCACCTCAAACGATAGCCCAGCGTGGACAGGGCTTCCAAAAACATTATCGAAGAGTGATACAGATAGTATGTTTTTTTCACCCGACGTTCTCTCATTCCCTCATGTCGTCATCATAGCTCGAGTCTGCCGCTGTTAAATTTGGCTTTGAAGCGGCTGTCGTTCTCTGCGGCAAAGTGGTCAACGAAGATGGCTCACTTGGCCACTCGTATAATACACCAGGCGCTGTAGGGGTAAGTTTTTTGTGCTCTACATCTTGATGTATGCTTAAAGATACAGTTCTGGGAGACACGATGTCGCGCAAGCGATGATGCCATTGTCGGGCATCTCAAGGCGCATGTATAGTAAGTGTAAAGATAAATTACGTTTATGCTATGACTTACATCGAAACAGTAATAGTACATCTTTGAATGCAGTGGATGATGCGTTCAACGATGGCACTCGCAATGACCCTTCGACCCCAAACTCGACTCCGAACCATGATCGTGACCAATCTCAGGCTCCCGAGGGACGGGATGACGGTTTGAAATGGATCAAACTCGAACTTATCAGACAAGTTGGTACGTTAGAACGTCGCTACTCCTTTTATCTATTTGACCTAAACTACGAATAGCCCAACTTGGGGGCAAGTGCGCCTGGGATAAAAATTTCCCTTGGAAGGGCATGTCCAGCGCCCTTGCTGATGCCAACCTCTGCATCAGAGGCTATCCTGCCCATAAGTGCCTTTTGCCCGGTGAAGCTCACAATGAAAACTCAAGGAACAAGGGCATCGGAGCGCTGACGCAGAAGGAAATTGCAGCGCTCGTAGATGGGTTGAAGGCAGGAACTATGCTAGTCGTCAAAGTTGACAAGGTGCACCGAGGTGAGTTTTGTTTATGTTATACTATGAACTTTCAGGTTTTAACCTCATATGTAGCGGCTGTGATGGCCTCTGAGAGGCCAGTCATCACTGGCATAGCGCCACCACCTGAATGGTCACATGATGGCGCTCGACGGCTATTTGCTAATGGTGATACTGACTATCACGGCCCAGCTCGTCTCCAGCCTAGCGGTGCAGCTACGAAAGTCAAGAAAGCCACTGATAAGGCACCTCAGGCACCTCTTCGACCCTCCAATGATGACGACGACAATGATTTGGGTGACGATCGCCCGGCAGTACCTGCTGCTCCCAAGTTCCGAAAACCTACCATACAATTAGACCTACCTCCACCACTGCCCTTGCGCCCGTTCAAAGTTGTTGTACTGCCAAACCCACGCCAAGTCAAAACTGTTCGAAAGCCAGAACCAGCTGCAGCAGAGAGCGAGGTTATCGAACTGACTTCAACCGAGGAGAATGCTGTTGAAGAGTCGGATACTGAGTATGAAGAAGCGCGCGGGAAAAAGAGGAAACTCAAGGCCACAAACACGTCGCGTGCATTGAAGAAGCTAGCTTCATCCGAGGAGAAGACTGACGCTTCAAAAGCGGGGAAGAAAAGGACACGGGCTCAGACGAAACCAGACAAAGTACCTCCCATGCCGACCTCAACAACCTCTCCAACAAAGGGTGGTCCTCTGTCCCCATTAACAGTGGGGTCATCGAGTGTGGCGGCATCACCGGAACCTGGAAGTGAGTACACTTTATTCTAACTTGACTCCATTTGACTCAAGGCTGATAGCTGTGGCGCCAGCGCGACTTCGGGATGGACCATCTGATGAGCGGACCAAGGGTAAGCTATTTTCAATCAAATTTTTCTCGTAACATAGCTAATGATTATCTACCCTTCAGTCAAACCACGCCCAATCGCCAAGGCATCCAAAGGCAAAATGAAGTGTGTTCTTCGCATGGCCTACAGCCGGTCGGATGAATCTGAAGTTGACGAGGGTAAGAAGATAGACGTCGTGGTTACCGAGAGTGCCATCTCCCCTGGTTTAGTCAACGTCCCCGCAGAATCTTTACAGGAAGGCTTGACTGAGGTAATGCATGACGACAGGCCAGCAGGAACCAAGCAGGAACCGCCTCAGATCACCAAACCCATCGAGGATCTTCACGATGCTGCTCGCGACTCTCGTGACCCCCACGACCCTCCACATGACCTACACCAAGTTCATCACAAGCTCCCCGTACGTCATGATCCTCGTGAGGGTGTCCAGCAAGACCTTCACAGGGGTAACCCTCCATGCCACCCACAGGAACCTCATCGGGAGGTCACTCCTGACCCTCGCAACGACCCTCGCGAGGGTGGCCCTCTTCGCAACTCTCACGAGCCTCGTCGTGACCCTCGCAATGCCTTATATGACACTCATCGACCTCTTCGTAGTCATTCTCGTGAGCCATGGTACATGCATGACGCCATGCACCGTCGTGAAGTTTATCTGCGTGATGAAACTCCTATGATTGAGCATGATGCTCTCCACTCCCGTGATGTCTTCTACCACCGTGACTCTCACAATCACCGCTATGCCAGTCTGCAACCTCGCGACTATTATGGACCCAATGAGCCTCGCATTGACAGCGAGTTCACCACGCGGGATACTTCCCCGGCCTTAGAGTCCCATTATACTCACGGTGAGCGTGAACGTGCATACCCAAGCCGATACAGCCCAGTGCTCAGTCCCGACTATGCTCATGAAAGTCGATATGCTCGACGCAATGGCCTTGACGAGCGCTGGGCATTTGGTGGAGGAGCATACCGTGACAGTGGGTACCCTCAAGGTAGAGCTCATAACCAGGATTCTAGATGGACGGACAATGTCCGTAATGTTGCATCTTCATCTTTGGACATTCGTCACGACGCTGTCCCGCGAGCATTTACTCGAGATCCCACTAACCCTCCGCATCCTCCTTCATCATAATCGACTTTTGATATGCCTGTGCTTTTGTCGTTTGTTGGGTTGCTATTTTGGTTCATCTTCTCATGCTCACTTTGTCTTTTTACGGTGATAACTTATTATGGTGGTTTGCTCATCCTACACTTGTCCTGTCCCTTTCGTACCCTAGTACTTATGTAGCTATCCATGTGTTTTTACGATTTCCTCTCGTTTCGATAATGTCAGTATAGCAGCTCCAATGCCTACTCTTGTTTGTTTCAGAACATGTTCAAAACCGCCGTGAAACTTAAAGATAACGACACTGCGATGTGATATGTTTTATTAAAATGTGACATTCACAACATAAATACAACGCAAAAAGGAAGAAAAAAAACATAACATACAATAAAGGGCGGGGAAAAACATAACATATTGTTGTATGTGCGCGGCGAGACTCTCGATGACATGATGAAAACATAACATAAGTATGAGTGACAAACATAGGAAATATAAAAGGCGAGGGGACAGCATAAGGTATGATGTATCGTCGGAGGAGCACAAGAGGCTCCAAATCATGTTGATAAGCGGCGAGACTCTCGATGACGTGATGAAAACATAACATAAGTATAAGTGACAAACATAGGAAATATAAAAGGCGAGGGGACAGCATAAGGTATGATGTATCGTCGGAGGACCACAAGAGGCTCCAAATTATGTTGATAAGCGGCCGAGACCCTCGATGACGTGGTGGAGGTTCAGCACCGTGATCTGCAATAATCAGAGCCAACCCTCCAACGAGGCCCACGAGGGTACACTTGTTACTCTTAAGGAATTGGGGGAGACCCTCCAGGGAGAGGGATGTCTCAGAGACATGTTGTGTCCTACAGGAAAACCGGGTCTGACAGACCGTGGGGAGCACTAGAAAGTGCTGCCAAGGGTGGGGTGGATGTGGACACTGGACAGGCTGCTCATCGTGATTGTGAAAACTTGTAGAGAGATTGGAGATTGGAGAAAGAATGGGTTGCATGTACCCTGTACTTATACTAGTCTGTGGTCTATGACGTTCAAGATCGTGTGCAGATCACGTTGCAACTACATGACCAGAGATTTCGCGCTCGATATAATCCCTTCGGAGGCAATATCATATAACCAGATCAGATGCTATCAGATAGGCTGATAATGAAGCGGCAAACGTGGTCCTTTCGAAGCGGTAATGCTGGAAGCCCGGAAGCTAGGTAAGTATGGAGATAATTGTGTCTCCGTTTCCAATCTCACTTGGGGAGAGCGTGATTTTTGGGGGATTGCTGGGCCGCAGTGTTATCAGAGATAAAAAAAACTGCGCGCTCCGAGTGGTGCCGTTGCTTTCTTAATTTCGCTACCGCGGACACTGGATTGGCATCATGATGGATGGATCTTCTTAGTGCAGAAGGCTATTTTCAGGCAGCATGGTGTCTACAGGGCTTCGCTACAGTATTCTAGCATAGTCATGTATGTCTACATTGGAAACACAGTCCAGTCCCCGGTCCTCTTTTCTCTTCCTCCGGTATGGGCAAAGGCAGCGTTCGCCATTGCTCTCCCAAATTTCCTGTTGTCAGTGATGCCTTGCTGTTTGGTCTAGTCCTCACTAATTCTTTATTCCGGGTTATACACTCATACAGCTACAAAGCTGGTGTTTGTTCGAATATTTCGTCATTCAGAGCACGTCCATTCGCATACCTTACTCGGGTGGACGGTTTGGACTTTGCTGTGTTTTGCAGGCTCAGCTATTACTGCAATTCTCGCCATCGCAGTTCCGATATTTTCCTACCTAATCGGCATCACGGCAGCCCTCTTTGCCGCACGGTACATGTACGGTTTGGCCAGATTCTTCTGGTTGCATGACGCATATCATCTCGAGAGTGGCATGGACGGGCTCAAATGACGACCAATCGGGACAACACTCGCAGTGTTGACTATTATTTCCGGCACTTTCATCTGTGTCGCCGGGACTTATGTGTCGATAAAGGTCAGTGTTCGTGTCTTTGCATCTGACACTCGTCTCACTGTCAGTGGTTGATGATAGCTCATCGCCGAAGCCTACGCCAATGGCCAAGTTGGGAGACCGTTCGTTTGCTAGAGGGGGTTTCGTTGTGGCATAATGTGTAGTCCGTGTCGAGTCCTTTAAATTTAACTTTTAGAGCTTTTCCTAGGACAGTTCAATTATAGACGTGGGCTTGAGAATCTAGTCAATGATATAACCAGCATCGTCCATGATACATGCTCGATGCGTTCCAAATGCGCTGGTTGCCGAACTGATCTGGGACATTCATATCAGTGATTTTAGCCTCATAATGATAGGTGGCTATAGACACGGTGTTCGACTCAGACTGGGAAGAATGTCTTTGACAGTGGCTCGCCGAGTCGCTGGCAAGTAGGCGCAATACTAGACACCAAGTCCGTCCTCACTACATACAAGCTCGTAGAGGGCTCTTGGATAGTATTTGTTGCCAGGAGGACAGCGCTCAAGCACGACTCCTCGAAGGTGGATGCATGAGGTGGAAGATTGTTGCATCAGTGGATCACATAATCAACGCCATTTGCCCCTGCCACGATGCTACGGAGGAAGTTGCCCTCTGCATCAGGAAATCACGAGTTTACTTTTTGTCTACTTATGTCCAACTTTTCGCACGACTCGGTAGGAAAGTTGCGTCAGGTCGAAAAAAGTTGAACCAACTTTTTTCAGTAGATCTCTCTACTCAAATTCTACTTACGTTCTACTTATGCTTGACTTATTGTCAACTTTTTTTTGGCGAAACCCACTCAAAAACGCACGATATGAGGGATCAAAAGTTGCATTAAGTCAAAAAAAAGTAGTTTAAAAGTATGAAATAAGTGATCCAAAATGACGAATGGTATTGAAAATGTGTGACTAGTAGAGAAAAAGATGGCTCAAATTACTAGTACTACTAGTAGCCTACTAGTAGAGGGGGAGGGGATCATTATGATGGAACTCGGAGTGCATAAGCGTCTGGAGCATACTACTAATAATAGTACCACCGGCGGAAAGTGAGCGGAAACAGTGATACAAGCATCAAAAACAGTGAACATTCTATCAGACGTGTCAGTACTACTAGTAGAGCACACGATGAGTGAAAAATACTTACAAAGCAGGGCACGTCCCCCCTTGGGTTTTACCTCCTCAGCAGCAGCGTTTGAGGATGCTGCCTGCCGCCGACGCACCATGGCAATTGTGTCCATTGTGTACTTCGACCCACGCCTCTGCAAGGAATCATAATATTCAGACGTCACCAACCCACAGTTTGCTTCTGAAAAGGCCGACGCTGCAGTGCTGTCCTTGCCCGAGGATTTATTGCGCTTCAGGGGCATTTTGCGAGGCTTACTGCTGCCCTTTGTACTGCCGGCAGTAGTGCTTTGGTTGTCAGCAGAGGTTTTTGGTTTTGCAGCGAAAGAAAAGGCACGTTCGAGCTATAGAAACGGACCATTAATAAAAGCCAGAATCTGGAGATAGGACCTACTGCAGCAGCGCATGCAGCAATTACAGCCTGCATTCCATTCAAATGCAAACCATGAGTGTTGAGCGCAGGTACATCAAGGAATCCAGCAATGGCATTAATGTGGGCGGCCTCGATCATTTCCAACATGAATATGGACCGGTAGATCTGGTCTGGGTCACGGGTCTCCGGATCCTCATAGAGGAAAGCGTAGTCCTCGAGAAGGTTAGTTGCCAGCACTTGCTCAAAGTCACTGGTGTTGTCCTCGTCCTCATCATCCTCATCAGCTTTGGAGGCCGCGAGGAAGTTAGTAACAAGGGCGATGGCTGTAGATCCGAAGTTACTGCGCCAGGAGCATAGACGCTGATTTACCTTTGGTTGGGATAACATGACATTAGAAAAAATATTTCAAATGTAAAAGCAAAAGTGAGACGTACCAAGCCTATGATAGGGCCCTTTGGTTGGATATTGTGATTTGTTCCTGGATAAGCAACGTCAAAGATAGATTGTAGTGCTGGAAGTAACTGCTCAGTCTCGATGGTCCAAAATTTTGGCTGAGCGCCAGCCCATAGAAAGACTGTTGGTATAAAAGTTCTGCGCCATGCGCCGTCCTCCAACATCATCGACGGGAGATCTGTGTTTCTCCATTGCCCTATAGTTTTAGGCTTTGTCGCCATATCCGCAAACATTAAGTCAGGCTGAGGGGTTGCGGGAACCAGAATGTTAGTGTCCTTGGAAGGTAGATCGACCTTGGCCTTCTTTTGAGAAACGAGTTCTGTTTTCACCTTCTTGGACAGGTCCTGGCGAGCCGGTTCGACTTTGGCTTTCTTGGATGGGTTCGGATTCACAGAGACCGATACACTCGTCTATAAGCAGGCGCCTCAGTGTCGTTATATAACAGAATTTTAAGAAATACTCACCTTTGCGGTGCCAGTGGTGCGCATTGGCTTGGGAACATCCTCAATCTCGACCTCAGACGCCGAAAGCAAATCCAACTCTGCATCAACGACAACGGGGGCAATGTCCTCTTCGGATGAGCTGTAATATCCGACGAGGTCCTCGATTTTCCTTTTGGAGGTAGTACTGATTGGAGCTCGAGGTTGTTCTAAAGCAAACCTTACTATATCTGCTTGCTGCGTGAATGGTAATAAGTTGAATGGAATGATGGCCGGTGCTTCGGCCACTTCATCATCCGAAAATTCAGAGATCGCTACAACACTCTACAACCAAATTGAGCAATTTCAATGATCGGATCAAGTCTGACACTTACCTGCATTGCCGCCTTGTCTTTCCTGTCGGCCGTGAACCCATACAACTGCTCTGGTAATTCCTCTTCGTCTTCATCTGCTTCGTCTTCATCTTCCTCATCTTCTTCCTCGTCCTCCTCTGATACCAGTCCGTCTGAAGATTTGATCAAGGTGGGAGGGGGTTCTTTCGCACTTGAGACTGTGGTTGCTGCAGTCTGACTCGATTTCAAAGTTGTCACTGACAAAGTGTTGCCCGAAGCAGATTGGACGGCCCTTAAAACAGGATTTTTTATTGTCGTTTGAAGTTCGGAATGAACTTCCTCCTGAGGTTTAACAAGAGTTCGCCAGTTATCGATCTTTCTAGCAACGTTAAGTTTTCTACTACTGAGCGCCCATGTAAGCGTCATGAAGTGGAGCGTGGATTCTGTGAGCATTAACATCATGATGGTGAGAGAAGAGAAATGACTGACGGATAGAGATTTCCTTTCTTGTCACTGTCAGGTGCCTTCCCTTGATTGATGATATGCTTCATTGCAGCACTGATCACCTCGCGCGAAATGAGGTTGGCCTTCTTAAGCTTCTTCGTCTTCTTTGACTTCTCAACTTCGTTTCCGATCACTTCGCCATCTCCTGCATCAACGCCATCAGCATCCCTACCCATGGTGCCATATTTGCCTGTGCCTTTGGCCTTGACCTGTGTTGCCGGCACAATAGGACTCTCCAAGGTAAGTTCATTAGTCGCTACAACTTCTGCTTTTTTACTCTTCACTGGTCTAGGACGGGGCTTTACGGGCAGCTTCCCCCTCCCACTTGCCTGAGTCGACTGCTGTGCCTGCATGTCAGCCTCAATGCCAGCAATGTGGCTAATTCCACGCTGTGCAGTCGCTGCCTGGACAGCCTGCACATCTTTTGCATGCTGTAGATCTTCTGCGATCTGGGCCTTGGTGCGTCGTTTTTTTTGACCTTCAAGAAGAATGAGTCCAGGGCGCTGTGTCGCATTTTTTGGGCGTGTACGACGAGGGGAGGCAGGAGGTGTCATAACGGAGATTAAAGGCAGGCGACAGGCAGGAAGAAAGAAGCAGCGAAGGGCAGGACCTGATAAAAGGTATGTAAGAGTTACTAGTCAGAGACTTTGCAAATTTCCTAAACGCAAACAAACAACCCATTGTAACTCCAAGGGTAACCCTCAATACCGATTTACATCATTTTCCAAGTCCGCCTGCATCCTCCAGCACTTAACTCAAGCATCTGAGCCGGTATGTACTGACTATCATCCCAACTGGTTCTGCCCCAAGCTGACACCAGACACCAGAGCTAGTACTGGCTATTCTGCCAACAAGCTGCACTATCGCCAACTCCAAATACCATCAACTCACGCGCCAGAGCTGGTATTGGCCATCCTACCGACAAGCTCGACCCTTCCTGACTCCAAATACCATCAACTCAATCCGCTGGAGCTGGTAGTATTGGCTATCCTACTGACAAGCTCAACTCTACCGACTCCGAATACCATCAACTCAATCCGCCAGACCAGATATTGGCTATCCTACCGACGAGTCCTACCCTCCCTACTCTGAATACCATCAACTCACTCGTACTAGCCATCCTACCGACAAGCTTGACCCTCCCTGACTCCGAATACCATCAACTCAATCCGCCAGACCAGATATTGGCTATCCTACCGACGAGTCCTACCCTCCCCAACTCCAAATACCTCAACCAGCATGTCCCAAACTGGGTCACAAGGAAGCTACCTGCGCCACCAGGCCAGTGGACTTTGCATCCCTTGCACGAAGCCGGGGTGTAACCGTTGGTTCAAGAACCGATCAGGGTATACACAGCACATGAATGCGAAGCACCCCATATTCTTACATCCACATGCAGTGACTCAGGCATCTGTCCCTTGTTCACCAAGTCCTGCATTGTCCTTTGATTTGGATTTTGGTGATGCCAACGACACGGACTTGGGACCGGAAGATCCCTTGCAACCAACTGCTCAATTTGTTGGGCCTGGTGACCGGTTGTATAGAAATTATCATCCGCTTCTGTCTGGTAAGTTTATGGACTGTATAATTCTCAAGTACTGATATATTGCTTGTGACCTATGAAGCTCGCCCCTGTGATCGTGAAGGTAACTTCCTTCCACGAGGAACTCCGCCTCCACCACTTTCGGACAAGGCATCAGATGACTGGACGCCTTACAAGAGTCGGGTAGAGTTTGAGCTCACCGACTACCTATTTACGAAAAACCAGACCCCCATGCATTCAATCGACCAGCTGTTAAATATATGGGCAGCTTCATTGATTGAAGGGGGTAGCAAAACAACTTTGTTTCCTGACCACCGTGCACTTTACAAGACCATCGACGATACACCCCTCGGAGACATTAAATGGCAGTCGTTTTCGGTAAAATATACTGGTGAGATTCCAGAACAAGGTGTCGCACCCTGGATGACAGATACCTATGACGTTTGGTTTCGTGATCCACGCAATGTTGTTAACAATATGCTTTCTAATCCAGACTATGCTATGGAAATCGATCTCCAACCTTACCGTGAGTACGCAACCGAAAATGACGAACGCCAATGGCAGGACTTCATGTCCGGGGATTGGGCTTGGTCTCAAGCGGTATGTACTATGTTCATTATCGTTAATGTACATGATTTGAGAGATATTTTCAGGATAAGATTTCTGAGGACCCAGATACCCATGGCTCGGCGTTCGTGCCCGTCATTCTCGGGAGTGATAAGACCACTGTTTCGGTTGCAACGGGGCAAAATGATTACTACCCTCTCTACGCATCTATTGGGAATGTCCAGAATACTGTTCGCCGTGCACACCGCAACGCTGTTGCCGTGGTGGGATTCCTTGCAATGCCAAAAAGTATGTGCTCACATGTTCACATTTTACTGTCCTTACCCTCCTGTGAAGCCACGAAACAGCATGCTGAGACACCAGGTTTTCGAAGCTTCCGACGTCAAATTTTTCATTCGTCCCTCTCATTCATCCTAAAGAATCTGAAGCCAGGCATGACAAAGCCTGAAATTGTTCGTTTTGGGGACGGCCACTATCGCCGTGTCATATATGGACTCGGGCCATATATCGCAGACTACGAGGAACAGGTGTTGCTCGCATGCATAGTTCGGAACTGGTGTGCCAAGTAATTTTTCCCGATTATCTATTGGATTCATTCTTATATTAAATATTACTAGGTGTCTTTCCCATAGCGATGACCTCGACGAGATTAGTCTCCTTCGTTCAAGAACTCACGCAGATGCACTCATCGAAGAGTGCGATTTCGATACACTGTGGAAAGAGTATGGTCTCATTAACGTGCTTGTGGTACTTCAGTTGTTCGGTTTCATTTGTACTTAGAATTAATTCTTATATTCAGCCATTTACGAACGATTTTCCCCGCGCCGACATCCACGAACTCCTCGCACCTGATCTTCTTCACCAGATTATCAAGGGGGCATATAAGGACCATTTAGTTACATGGGTAGAGAAATACCTACTGCGCACACATGGAAAGATGCAGGCTAACATAATTTTAGATGATATTGACCGAAGGTGTGTTTATGCACCATCATTTTGATTTACTCTAACCTTTCATAGAATTGCAGCAGTTCCTCCATTCCCTGGACTTCGTAGATTTCCTCAAGGACGTCACTTCAAACAGTGGACTGGCGACGATTCCAAGGCCCTTATGAAGGTATATTTGCCGGCCATTGAAGGTCACGTCCCCTTGGATGTCGTGCGTGCATTCCGTGCCTTCCTCGAATTCTGTTACCTTGTCCGCCGCAATGTGATCACGGAGAAGTCGCTCGGTGAAATTCAAGATGCCCTTACCCGTTTTCACCACTATCGGGAGATTTTCAAGACTACTGGAACGGTCTTAACTTTTTCACTTCCCCGACAACACGCCATGTCTCACTACATCTATCTTATCCGACTCTTTGGCGCTCCGAACGGCCTCTGCTCCTCTATTACGGAGTCAAAGCATATAAAGGCTGTCAAGGAGCCTTGGAGACGGTCCAGCCGATACAAGGCTCTGGGTCAGATGTTACTAACCAATCAGCGTCTTGACAAGTTGGCGGCATCACGTGTGGATTTCCGCACTCGCGGGATGCTCTCGGGTACATGTCTATCATCCATTCTTGCGGCACTTGGTATGTGATTCATTTTTACTTCGTTTATTGTTAGATTGTTTGACCTTTGCTATAGAACCATCAGATAGACAGTGTGCGCAGCCTGCACAAACCAATGTGGAAGAGCAGACCAATGCAGATCAACACGACCCTGAGCTGCCCAGTATGTCCCGAAGCGCCAGCGCCAGTATACTCGACCCGGATGTCAGCGCTGACTCTGAGGATATTGATGTGCCAATGTCGGTCCTTGCACACGTAGAGCTTGCTCGAACATCTCGTAAGTCTTTTTTCATTTGTACAACCTTGATACACTACTAAATATCATTATGTGTACAGAGGGAAAAAAGCGCCCACAAAGCATTCCTGCACTAGCTAACGAGCTTCACATCCCTGACTTGGCTGAACTTGTTCAACAATTCCTCACCGAGCAGCTGTATCCCAACAAGGACCCCACACAAATTCCCACAGGTATTATGGACCGCCCTCGTTACGATGGGAGGATACGAGTTTTTCACTCTGCGGCCTCAACATTCTTTGCACCGAGTGACCTGAGTGGAACCGGCGGGATGAAACGCGAACACATTCGTGTGTCCCCCAGATGGAGAAATGAATATGCACGCAAAGATTGCGTGTTTGTTATTACTGACCCGAACGTTCCTGGAATGCGGGGTATGGACATCGCCCAGGTACTAACATTTTTTTCCTTTCGATTAAGGGGAGTACGTTATCCATGTGCGGTCGTTCGGTGGTTCAACCGAATCGGTGACACGCCAGATGAAGATACTGGGATGTGGATGGTGTCACCGTCTTTTAACGGTAATCATGCACACTATGCGGTGATTCATGTTGAGGCTATTTTTCGTTCTGCACATCTTATTCCGGTCTATGGCACTGAACTGCTTCCCTCATTAGTTAAATCTCACCACGTTCTCGATATATTTACCCTATTTTATGTCAACAAATATGCTGACCACCATGCCTTCGAAATAGCTTGGTAATGTAACTCACTTTTTTTCTATGTCTTTTCAATCCTCTCGCTTTTTCTTACTTTTCCGCTTTTTCTTACTTTTTCACTTGCCTACTTATTTTAATTGCACGAGCTTTTTATGTCCAAAATATAAGTGAGAAAAAGTGATGATTAGCAATAAGTCTCTTAAATAAGCGTGAAAAAGCTAGAAAAGGAAACGCGTGATTTCCTGATGTGGATAGAGTGGCAATAGCTTGTAGGACAGTTGCGCGGATTAGGACGGGCCGGCCTATTCCGAAAAGCCAACAGTACTTATCGTGCAGGCACAGAAGTCCGAGCCAGACAGAAGAAGTCCTGTCTTACGTTACGTTGCACGTAACTTCAAGTTTTCTGGAGCTTTGGGGAGCCGAAGTGTTTTGGAAGGGTAACGGGGACCTGGGCCAGCCGGCCGTATGACTGTACAGCCCTACCGTCGAACATCTCGAATGCATCGCGGCATATGGTACGGTACGGGTAGTACCTGTAAGCCTACCTCAAACTATACGGTTACGGTGAACAACCCTAGCCGACTCCGATTCCTGGCTCGACTGAGTTGAAACTAGTAGACTCGTGAGTGGTCACGAGTCTAACCGCTGACCGCTATAGCTTATTTCCTTTTGACATGTTGCTTGTAGATTCATTTTGATTTAAATACGAGATGTCTTTTATCTGATCATTCGATCCACACACCCGCTCTTGAATCATTTGCCACTAGACCATGTTGACAATCACCAACATTAATTATCTGGACCTACTATGCCTTACCGGTGTTACAATTGGAGTCTATCTGGTAAAGCAGGTGGTCATCAAGAAGAATCCTGCACCATATCCACCTGGTCCCCGGGGGTGGCCTCTCATTGGCAATATTTTAGATATGCCTCACATCAAGCCCTGGCTCACGTTTAGTGCGTGGGGTCAGAAGTATGGTGAGTACCTCCCCTTTTCCAACTTGAAAGTCATGCATTTTCAAACATCTTTTCTTCAGGTGATATCACGCATATCAGTGTTCTGGGTCGGCACATCATTGTGCTGAACTCTGTCAAGACCGCAATGGAAATGATGGACAGAAAAAGCATTGTGTACTCTGACCGTCCTATTCTTCCTATGAGTGGCGAGCTTGTTGGCTGGAAGGATTCTTTGTTCTTCCTTTCTTATGGTGACCGTCTTCGCCAGCAACGCAAGAACTTACATCGCGTCATCGGCAGTCGTGCCGCAGTGGGCGTATACAACGAGGTTGGGGAGGTTGAGACTCGTCGATTCCTGCAGCGTGTGGTCGTAAAACCCGATCGACTGCAGGAGCATGTCCGACAGTATGCATTATTTATCCTCGCAGTCACACAATCTTAAATTTTCACTATAGCACTGTTGGCGCTGTCATTCTGCGCATCTCTCATGGTTACGAAGTGAAAGAGAACAACGATCCCTTTGTTGACCTTGCGAACCGCGTTACAGCCCATGGCTCGCAGGCCACAGCTCCCGGTGCCTTTATGGTTGATATTTTACCATTCTGTAAGCTATATTATTCTGACGTTTGCATTGGCTTTCGATGACCTAACAATTTTAGTGGTAAAGGTCCCCGCGTGGTTCCCCGGTGCTGGCTTCAAGCGCATAGCACGTGAATGGCATGAGACCCTCGAAGAGATGGTTTCTGCACCCCACAAGTTCGTCAAGGACCAGATGGTGACCAATTTGCAGTATTGTAATCATGCATAGAAGTTCAATGTTTACAGGTTGCTGGCATCGCCCCTGTGTCTTTTACCTCGAATCTTTTAGAAGGCGGCGATCTGTCTGCGGAGGAGGAACACGTCGTGAAATGGTCTGCTTTTTCCATAAACGCTGGTGGTACCGACACGGTTCGTCCTTCTCTACAACATCTTCTGAGAATACCAAACCTATTTCCTCAGACTGTTTCTGCAATATACTCGCTTTTTCTAGCTATGACACTTTTCCCTGATGTGCAGAAGAAAGCTCAGGCTGAAATAGATGCGGTTGTTGGTCCTGACCGTCTTCCCTCCTTCGCCGATCGCGACTCCCTCCCTTATACTGAGGCTCTTGTCAAAGAAGTCCTGCGCTGGAACGTTGTCCTTTCCACTGGTATGTGAATATCGATCATAACATTATTTGTTTACCGACTGGCAATGGGTATCTCAATGACAGGTTTTCCTCACTGTGTGGCTGAAGATGATATCCATAACGGGTACTATATTCCAAAAGGCTCCTTAGTACTACCTAACATTTGGTTAGTGCTCCCCTTCGATTGATGAACAGCGATACTCATAATTGCGACAGGTTCATGCTCAACGATCCACAGACATATACTAACCCCTCTCAATTCAATCCTGAACGCTTCTTGGCCAAGGATGGAAATGAACCTGAGATGGATCCTCGTACGGTGTGTTTTGGCTTCGGTAGACGGTAAGCACGGAATTGGTTCTGAATCTGATTGTAATGCTAACTTTCTGCTCCGTAGTATTTGCCCAGGTATATCCAGCTCGCATCAATTAACTAACAGTATTCTGACATCTACTTTCTTTTGATGCACAGGTCTCCACCTTGCTGATGCTTCCATTTGGATAACTACTGCAATGTCACTAGCCGTATTCGATATTTCCAAGGTTGTTGAGAATGGTGTTGAGATCATTCCCGAGGTTGAACCCTTACCAGGTACGGCCAGGTATGTCGCACATCTTGTCATGTCTGGGCAGGTCTGGATTGACACGGTCCAAGCCACCCCAAACCGTTCAAGTGTTCCATCAAGCCTCGCTCTGCAACTGCCCTTGAGCTTGTTGAACAAGATGCTAACTACTAAGCTCACGATGGTGATACCGGAGAAATACACGTGAATATGAATACTTGGCATGCGTCGTAATTTGTATGTTACATTCAGGAGTTGTGCAATATGATTTTTTGGAGTTCACACAGGAAATCATTTGCTTCCGCGGAACTTTTGTGGGAGGACGAACGAATCGATGTCATATACCAGCCGGTATTAGCATGAAGTACTGATTATGTGGCATTCTAGGAACGTTTATATGAGAGGAGAGTTGACTTTGAGTGAACTTAGGAATCGAGAGACGAGGAAACGTTTTCTTAATGCGAGCTCTTACTACGACGCGAGGAGTGGCTATGAATCACATCCGGGTCATGGGCTGCCCGTTCCAGGTCTAGATGTTCTACACCGGCTATGATGTCTGTTACGTTCGCTCCCGGGTCAGGAACAGGGGCGAACAGGGGCTGGTGCGAGGATAACAGGGAGCTAAGCGTCATTCAAAAACTGCTGTGCTACGCACCTACCTGGGTATAATGCATACAGACATAGGTTACCTGAAAGGTACAAATGAAACCGCTTAGAGATATCTACAACACTGTCCTGGCGTCTATCGTGAGTGGGACTCCAGATCGATTGGCTCGGCTAACATCTCTCATCTGCTGTCACTTGTTGACCGTCGGAAATGGCGGACTCCAGACATAACAAAACAATATTATGTGATAACGCGCGTCGACTTTATGATGATGAGTATAATTAATTGTGTATTGGTGAACGAATACGGTCGTTATTGACCAAGTCGTGGCCCCAATTTAAAAGTTCGAGCACTAGTAATTGGTAGTTGCAGGTTATGGTGTATGTACATCCCAACTAGACCACATGGCACTGATGAGCCATTAATATTCACGATTAACACAACTCTCGGACACACATTAAATTAGCAGAATAAGTGTTCCAAAATCAGAGGTAGTATCTGTCACCTGTAAAAAGGGTTCATGGCAAGCTGTGATCATATGTGTTTTCTTACCGATTTGACCCATACCAGGCTCTACGATCCAGACTCTCCTCCCCTCCCCTTCGCTCTGGCCCTCGCCTTTTTCATTGTAATGTTCAAGCCATGCTTCACGGAGACCTTCATCGACGGCACCAGTCACAATCTTGACCTCTGGAAAGGCCCGCTGAAGTACAGTGACACCACCAGTGCGGGCAATGAGGAAGGTTACAAAGATGATGTGATCTTGCTGGACTCCATGATCTAATAGTGTCCGAACCGCCATGAATGCTGAGGCAGCGGTGCCTATTTGAGCATCTAGCAAAAATACCCATGCATCGACGGCTAGATGTCGTTCTCGCAGGCATTTGGGAAGCATTACATGTAGAAGTAGTGGCTCTCCGGTATTAGCGTCGGATTGCACCAGAAGGGAGCCAATTGCAACGTCACTGAGAACGCGCTGCAATCCCTTCGTTAGAGGTCCACCTCTGGTCCAATTGATTAGTGCAGAAATTGGCTGATTCACTGAAACGTACGAGCGTATGATGGAGACACCACAGACGTTCTAGAGAACTCTTAAGTCAGACACTCAATGTCTCAGCGAAATGATCTACCTTGACGTCAAGTTCCTTGCCGGTGCAATCTAGTCCTATTGGTGTCGTGACCGTCTTAGGTCTGTGAGGAAGATGTTCCATCGCTTTCTCGATCAAGAATGTTGCCAGTCGGTCTACGAAGAATATAAAGTCCTGGCGGTTCGACGCCCCATCACGAAGAATGGTATATATACCCTTCACCCAGAAGCATAAGCAACGACTCTCATTGAGGGTGGGGGACAGACCTTTAGCTGTGGTGTTTGCGGGAGCACTATAAGGTTCTTGGACACCGGGTTACCGTCTGGCGTACTCAAGCAACACCCAACTGATTGAGAAACCATGTGTTTCCGAAAGTGTCTCGCGCGTTCTGTCATTTGACGTCGAATGTGGGTCGTTATCAAATCAATGGCAACAGCGTTGTTTGACCCTGGAACGACCTGAAAACAATGGTACGTCGAAACAATTGAAACAACACGTCCACTCACAATGTCTGCATGGCGAGCGGTTGGCAAAACGAAGTTATCGAACGCGGGCTTAACATAGCGAAGATATCTAGGCGTGAGCGATGGTTACCATGACACATAATCCTGGCAGAGAAGAATACATACTGCTCGATGACCCCATCAACACTTCTTCCACGTTCCTTGACGTCCCGTTGTATTCTCCGGGCGAGCATCAAATCTGAGTCACATTGCACAAACACCTGTTTAACGGTGAGACAATATACAACTTGCTGAATGATGGGGTACCTTGAGATCATATAACGAGCGCAAGTCTGGATGATGCAAAGCCATTATACCTTCCGCTGAAACATGTTTTTGGCATCAGCATCCAAGATCGTGACAGGAAGGAGTCAGACACCGACTTATTATGATAGCTGCACCATACAAATACTTCGCTTCGCTCAACCGCTGATGTTCGGCAAACGAGTAAACGGGAATATTGGTCTGCCGACACGCCTTCAAGTCCGCGAGACACTAGGAAAGATTCGGTAAAGAATTTAGACACAAATGAACGTACGGACAGCAGCAAACATAGGCATGTCAATGGCATCCGGGTGGTCAAAGTCGAATCGATTCGCATGCGCCAGCGCAACCTCTTCTGCGTTATGTCGCTTGTAAAAGCTGTCCTAAGCAGCGGACACTGTGTCACCCGTGAACTCTCCTGATATTTTGTGTAATACTGACCTGGGATAGGATCACGACAGTCGGTACTGAGCCCAATGAACGAACGATTTGCTGAGCAACATGTGTCTGCCATCGCCTAATTCATCTTTCCGAACTTCTCTCAACTTGCATTCTCACCTTCCCACTTGCCGATCCGCCTGGATCCATTTGTCAGGTTGACAAAATGCAAGACTGCGCAACACGTAGTCACACTCACCAGCTATCCCGATCACGAATGCGTCGCAAATGGGTAGGCCGTTTTCCCCGTACCTGTCAGTGACACGTAGATGTCAGGCATTGAACGACAACAAAAAGCCAGTATGAAAAGTTACCAAGGAGGTCTTCCGTGAGACTTCAAGAGGATGTTCTTCTTCGACTGGTGCGATTCCAAAGAGTGTTGACTTTCGTCATCGAAAAACTGATGAGAGTAATCTTCTGCAAGCATCGCAGTGCACGAGACAAGTTGCAAGATAATCGATCGACGGGGAACCAGAGGGCAGGGAACTGGATGTATTTAAGGTGTTCGGCTATGATGGGCTAGTCTACAGTACGTGATGCATTCTGAATCTGTTAAGTACTGCATGCAACCCCGGGCCTGATTCAGAATCCTGATCCGAGGCACTCTTATTCAGGTCATAAACAGCACCCTTATCATTACATGATCAACCTGAATCAAGCTGTCTTCCTTCTGCTAATACAATAGTCCAGGCCCAACCACGGATGATTAAAGCCGCTATAAAGCTTGGCACAGTCCGCATGGCAAAAGCTGCTAATGATACACGTTCTAACCGTCATTGAAAACACATTCATTTCCAAACTGCTGAGAATTTCCGCCACGATGTCGCGTATCAGAGCCTCTTCCTGAGCAATCTTGATGCCTTTACTAGATAGCTTCGATTCGTGGACTCGATTCGGGATAACGAGCAGTGGATTTTACGCTAAGCCTATGTTCGCACGCATCAGTACGTATCATAACCTGCATCCAGGTCGCCACGATATCACTTGCTGCCTTGACGTTGAGTCTCAGGGTACTAGATTGCCAATCGTTGATGGGCCTCTCCAGATACTCATGATCGCAGTCAACAAGATCCTGTCCATGCCGGTGTTAACGCCAAGCTGCTCGACAACTTCGCAAGCGGCGGAATAAACCGCCCAGCCTGAATCATTATCATACACTGAATATGACGGTCAACAAGCCATGTGACCAGTGAATAGATACCAACTCACCGTTGAAGGTAAGAAGAACCGCGGGGACAACGAGGCGAATGCGAGTATTGTGCTCGAAGGAGCTCACCAACCGAAATCAGGTTCACGTGTGATTGTGCTTATTGAGTACAAAAACACACTCTTGAAGCTTGGCCTCCATCAAGTAAAGTTGTTAACGATATACGTTCTGACTGCTACAAGAAGGCGTCATTAGTACCTCATTCCTTGTCATCCTGATTGTCGATGAGAAAATTTGCCACGGTATCGAGCATCTCCTGTTCAGGAATCTTGCGCCGAGCTCCGCCATCCATTAGCCCATCCCTATGAAGGCCACGATCTCCCACCCAAATGGGTAAAGGCGTAATTGAGGAGACACCAGGAGCTGACTGTTTAACACCACGACTACTCCTACTTGTCAACGTTGTGTGACAAGAGTAGCAAAGGAAATCGGTCAGGGCAAGTAATGGTGGCACTTGGCATGGGGTACTCGTGTCGAGATTGCTTCTGCATGGTAATGGGATATGGGCCAAGTCTGCAGCAAGTTTGTCGTCTGAGTATGATCTTATTGATATACGTCCCTTCCACTCCTGTATGGCAGATTGCATCGGCCTGACAGATCTTGTCTTAGTCACCTGAACCGAATGAAATGTAGTCAATAAACCTCACCGTTTACACAACCTGCATTGCCCGCTCGGTGCATCCTTGGGCTCCAGTTTTTCACAGGTCCGAGCGATGGTCGACACAGTCGAAGGATAGTCTTTCTCAAGCCCGACTACAAAATCTGAGGAAAAAGTCAGTCCTGTGTCTTGCACGCGAAAGCTCTCCCGTACTCTTAGTCAAGGCTGCTATTCCTAATATCGCACGCCTCTGCTTGTCTCGACCGATCACAAATACATTGTTCCACCACGCATATACAGCACATTCTTTTGCAGTAACGTCTCTGAGAGGTCGGATGACCCTGAGCACGTTATCAGGCTTCGAACCAGAAGCAGCAACGGGCGCCCATTCCTCCTGTAGTTCCTCACGGATTGCGTACCCCCCACCTTGTGAAATAGCTGATAAAAGAGAGATGGAGAGCGACGTGAG